CACCACTTCTGGAAAGAACAACATCCAGAATCAGAAAGAACAGAACAAAGGCTAGCAGATCAACGTTGATTTATAACATGAAATAAAGTATTCACAGAAGTAGAATTGGAAGAACTGCAAAGGTCTACCCAGGGCAAAGAAATCGAAGCTTTGCCAGAAGTAGCTCAGACAGAGGAGCCTTCTCCTCAGAACGAACAAAGCCCTGTTACAAAAAAGCAAGAGACATTAAACAAAGAATAACTGAGCAACTAGAAGAGCACAAAAACAACAGAATAAGTTTGCCTGCATTGAAGCTTGTTACAAAGAAACAGCTGGCACAAGTATTAAACGATGCCAATACTGTAATATCAAATATAAGCACCAGATCACTGTAAGAAACAAACCAACTGATGTACAGCATGGCTGCAGTTATAACTGAATACCTTGGATGCAAAATTAACAAACAAGAAAAAAACTGTAAGAAACAAACCAACTGATGTACAGCATGGCTGCAGTTATAACTGAATACCTTGGATGCAAAATTAACAAACAAGAAAAAAAGCCACACAGTGCACCACCAAAATGGAAGATCAGGCTGAAAAATAAGATCAGCATGCTAAGATCAGATGCAAGCAAGCTAGAACAGATGAAAGAAAAGAAGTTGAAAAACCAAAAGGCCCAAGAATAGCTGATCAAGAAATATCACTTAGAAACAAGGAAGAAATAAGATCAGCATGCTAAGATCAGATGCAAGCAAGCTAGAACAGATGAAAGAAAAGAAGTTGAAAAACCAAAAGGCCCAAGAATAGCTGATCAAGAAATATCACTTAGAAACAAGGAAGATCAAGGAAGCACTGGAAATAATCAGCAAATAACAGCCATAGCCAAGAAGATCAGCAGATACAAAGCTTGAATTGCACCCTACAGGCAGAATCTCCAATTTCAGCTGAATCAGAAATGTTTCTACCAATCCATCAATGCAGAGACTGCAATGAACCAGTCAACACCTGACAAAGAAGAAACAGTGAAGTTCTGGGCACAGCTATGGGACAACCCAAAGAAATACAACAAGAATGCAGCTTCGATAGAGGAAGTGGATAAGAATAAAAAAGAAGCTGAAATGAAAGAACTTGTAATAACAGCAGAAATCAGCTTCGATAGAGGAAGTGGATAAGAATAAAAAAGAAGCTGAAATGAAAGAACTTGTAATAACAGCAGAAATGGTGGAGAAAAGGGCAAAGAAGATCAAGAATTGGTCAGTACCAGGTGAAGATGAACTGCATGGTTTTTGGTTGAAACGTTTGACTGCTCTGCATCCACTCATTGCCAAGCAGTTTAACAACATACTGCAGGGAGGTGAAATTGAAGATTGGTTAACATATGGCAAAACCTACCTGATAATGAAAGA